GGTGGCCTCATCCATTCAGGGGGAGGTGAGTTGAATGAGAGTGAGATTTTGAAGCGGGAAATTATTATGAAATAGTGCAGACCAAGGACTCTAAATATTTAAGATGGGTGCTGCTACACGGACCCCAAATAAAGCAATGGGAGACAGGTGAGGTGTCTCAAGAATGCATGATGTGCATCATGCATTCTGATGGACACCTCACATGTCCCCCTGTTGTATATATATGTCATGATTCTAATCATCACTCCAGCAAAATAACATAATCGGTTAATATAAAAAAAAGTCCTATTAATATTTGAAGAGTATCTGGCATTTACATGAATTGTGTGATTACTCATTTCACAGATATCTTATGTTACATCACTTGTTCGGTAAACACCAATTAAGCCAACATTACTGGCTTCAACAATAGTTACATGGAATTGCTTCTATAAGCCCCATATAAGAGAATTCTTCACCTTATTCAAACCAATGCAAAAAATCTTTACACAAAATGATGTCATGTCAGCTTATACGTTCTTCCGTCCATCTTCTATATAGCACACTTTTCCATTCATTCCCTAACGATCGAGCTCGCTTTGGTTAGTAAGAGAGTCCCCATGAACTCAGGAAGAAAACTGGCTGTTTCAGTCACTACATGATGGAGCCTAACATATATATCCTTGGAGTAAAGCGGTATTTTAAAGCCAGATGAGGCTACTTAAGCAAGATTCTCCAAATATTTCGCATGTACGCGACTAAGGACCACAGAGAAAGGAAGGACGAAACATAAAGTAGAACTACACCAGAAGCAACTAGTCCATCTTGCCCTGAGAGACTGCATTCAGGAAACAGATTAAGATAATGAAGATAAAATATTTAAAATATACATCATAATAGTTGGAGTTCGCAAGAAAGGAATCATGACCTTGAATCTCTAGTGGCAAGGAGGATGGTTAAAGCAGTCATTTGTGTCGCAGTTTTCCATTTCCCCAAATTGTTCACTGCCACAGCCTACAATATTGCCAGTCAGTTTAAACGTATGTATCTCATATATATGCATGCCAAATATATGCATAAAGAAGCTTGAAGAAATAGAAAACGAACCTCAATAACTTTACTATTCTGACATGCTGCCCATTCTCTAACAGCTGACATGGTTATCTGCATATGAAATGCCGGTTTTAACATGTGTAAACATAGCGGCTACCAGGAAAGCACATGATGGGACTAGAACGTAATTCGTTTATAAAGTAAACGAGTCAAATTGTTTAAGTAATTTAAAGTTTTAAACTATTAGAAAGCAAAATCTCAGCTATAAAAACTTCATAGTTGGCATTGCAGACTAAGCTCATGGACATCCATCACACCCATCCGCTACCAATATAAAAATACTGAACGGACCCAGAAGTTTTTAAATTTCATCAGTAATTGTGAAGTAATGATCTCGCTTTTTACAAATCAAAGAAAATATTAACTTGACGATCAGGCCATATTCAAACAGGTATCGATGATAGATGCTAAAATTTTCAGTACCTATTGTAGATATGGACAGGGCCTATGTTTTCGTAAATGGAGATTTAACGTATACCATCTCTAATCTTGCGTATTTTCAAAGAGTACACAATATATATTAGACATACACACATAATTAGCTATTAGATGAAAAAAATGAAAATGTTAGTTAAAAAAAAAGACACTCATTAGTTGGAAGAAATATAATAGACATATGTTTTGATTAGCACCGAACACTGTCAAAAATATAGAAGACAATAAAAATCTGAACAATAACAATGACCAAATTATAATGAAAGAGTGATTACCTCTCTACCAATGATAGCGATTGAAGGTACAGTCAAAAGCCAAGGCATTCCTTCAAATATTGCAGCATCCAATGGTCTTGTGCACAACATCACTAACGTGGCAGCAACCATTAGCTGGATCCAGTAAGCATAGAGATCTAATTAGACAAACAAACTAGAACCACAATCATGTCACTTTGTTACACATCTGGCAGATGACAGCGGTCTAATCGAAATGGAAAAATACTAACTAAAAGAGACAAGAACAAGAAAAAAAGACCTTATCTGCTACAGGATCCAAGAATGCACCAAAAGGAGTTCCCAAACGCATCTGATGAATTGACAAAAGTTAAAGAGAAAAAAGTTCATCGTTGACATAAATGAAGTAGAAAAGAAAGTATAACTTTGTAAATTTGATTTCTAATACAAGATGTACCGACCTTTCGAGCAATATAACCATCTAGCCAATCTGTAACTGAAGCAGCAACAAAAATGCTTGTTGTAGCAGTAGTGGCCCACCAAACATTCATGTAAAAAGCTGGAGAAAAAGATGGGAAAAAATTTATCTCTTCGTATGTGAAAACATAGGATAACTACCAATCTAGCAAAAACTGAAATCCGGTAGTTCTACTTATCCTTCCGCAAGCATGACACTATGAAGAAAGATCCTTGAGAAAAACCCATGAAGTGAGGCACTAGAAAGTTGTAGACTAGGAGGGGTGTACACTATCTAGTAATTACTCTACCTTATTTTGTGTCGATGTCTTATGAATGATATAGATAGCCATGATAAGCAATGACATGATTGTTAAGAGAAATCAATTCTACCTTATTTTTTGTCAGTGCCTTATGAATGATATAAGTACCCATTGTAAACAATGGCATGATTGTTAAGAATTACTATACACTCATACAATGTCAATGTCATCAAAATTATAGGTTCCCGTCAATTATCTTTAGGATGAAGAAGGTATGTTTTAAAGTGGATTCTGTGACTGCAATTTATCTAATGTCAACTGTCAAGAGAGTTCCTTTTGTCTCTCGGGTCTAGGGGTGTTCTTTAATATAAGGAACTCATACATTGTTTCACTCTTTCAAGTTCCCTTGTACCTATCATAAAAAAAAAGAAAATTATATATTATGGTGTGTTCTCAGATCAAAGAATTGATTTTTCACCCTCAGATAAATGAATTTTTACTTGTTTTATAAATTACTACTAAACCTCCACTTAAAAACTGTGATACTTGTAACATGGCGCGCTTGTCCTAGAGCTACCGAAGAAAGATTCTACGACATGTTACTAACCATTACACATCCTTTGTTGTTCTACATTGATGCTTGCCTGCATTTACTCGCCAACAACGAGCACGGGTCATCCAACAATTTATTTAGTACATCATAAATCTGTTCTTCATTTTGTTAACCACAAAGCCGTAACAAAGAATCAACTATTTCCCTCCTCTTACTGTTTTCAAGGGTATTCCGTTGACTGGCGTAAAACAAATTATAACCTATATCGTTATTTGGTTCCAAGATTTCTAATTTCAACAATCATAACATGAAATTACCCTAAAAATAAAAACAAACCTAATCAACATCAAAGACTCCTCTTTTACTCAAAAAGTTATAATATTAAAAAAAAAATTAGATATTGCACTCACTGCTTACAAGAATCGGCACAGCAGCGACTCGCCCAAGTGTAAGCACCGTCGGTAAAGTTAACAACTTTGACCTCCTCTCGTCGTCCTCCTCCCGGATCCGGTCACCACCACCGACGGCCATACACGCCGGCCCGCCGCCGGCGACGACAATCCACCCGCGCGCAAACCATCCCCCTTGTCCTCGAACTGCAATTTGCGAAACTCCGAGGGTTGCTGTTGAAATTGGGACAAAATGGAATCTGGAGACCACGTGCGAGAGGCGGGTGGGTTTTCGCAATGAAGGAAAAGAGGCGGCGGGCGGTGACGGCACCGCAGCAGGAAGCGCCTTGGGGTAGGGACGAGAGGGTAATCGCGGGAGGCATTTTGATTTGTATCGGAGGAATTTGGGAGACTCTAGAGGGTTTCGAAATGAATTTGAGGGCGCGTTTTGGGGTTTTCTGTAAAATTTGCCTCGCCCGGGAGTTGATGACTCCGCCCCCGCTTGTTGGCGGTCGGCAGAGCGTTTTATACGCGAAAGTGATATGTTGGGGGTTTTATTGTAAGAAAGAGATTTGGATCAGGCGTGCTGTGTAAAACATGCATTATTTATTGTAGGCGTTAAAAAATGCTAATAGATATCCAAACATAGAGAAGATCATCAAAAATCACCTCATACTATCTTAAGAGAAAAATCAAGACAGATATGAACTGTCTCGCCAGCGAGACAGTGTTTGCTGTCTCGCCAGCGAGACAGTGTTGAAATGGTCAAAACCACCTTAAATAACTCCCACCCACGTGTCCATTAACTGCCAAGGTACGTGGAGAACATCGTGGACGAAAATCACGTGAATAACTGCCAAAATAACGGAGTTTGAAACGTGGGAAGGCAGTTAAAACGAAAACTGCCAGGAATATTCTTTTTCCGAGACAGCATTTACTGTCTCGCGGGCCGAGACAGCAAACACTGTCTCGCCCGCCGAGACAGTAAANGCCAGCGGCCTCACTGCCGAGGCCGCGGTGTCGCAACCGATCAAGATCGTTGTCAATGAAGAGATCGAATACGAGTTCGATCAGGCGAAGTTTGAGGAGTATTTGTCATCCTCATCTGCGAAATCTTCCTCGTCTCGCAAATATAGGAAGATTTCGTCTTCTAAGAAAACTTTCAAGTCTGCAATTCTAACAGAGGCCGCAGGCGAAGATTCTTGCCCGATCGTTGCTAAGGAAGCTGCCTGCAACGTTTCTGCTCCAAGTGACTCCATACCAATTAAGGAGTCATTGAATCATAGCTCGCCGGTGCTGACGAAGAGGGCTCGTCAGAGACAGCGCCAGCGCCGTGCTCGTCAATTGGCTAAGGCCATGCAACAAACCGACGGGGTCCATTACTATGCGGACCTAGAGTCGAGGAAACAGAAAATGACTCAGTTGCCTCAACGGTAAAATAATCACATTTCTGCACAGCTTACGACGGAGGAGTGGACTCTCGTCAAAAGGGCTCGCTCAACCCTTAAGGAACGAATACAAAGGCGTCAAGTGAAGGCCGCCCGTGCCCGCGCTCTTCGTCAACAAAAACAAGGAATCAAGAAGGAGTTGGTGTCTGAAAAGCCACCAAATAACCGTAAAGTTTAGGTACTGAAGGCGCCGCAAACATCCGTTTTGGGCCCGTCTAATGTATCACCAGTAAAACCATGGGTTAGTCCAGATTTATCAAAGTTCAAGATCACAATGGCGGATCGCCTCGGTCCTTCGG